GGGGTTGAAGCTGCTTTGAGGGTTTGACGGTTCTGGTGAGGAGGGAGTCGAGGCGGGGGGGGAGCGGCATAAAGGACATTTCTGGGTTGATTTGAGGATGCGCTCGAGACAGGGGGTGCAGAAGGTGTGGGCGCAGGTTGTGATGAGGGGGTCTTTGTACATGTCGAGGCAGATGAGGCAGTCTTCTTGCGAGTCGATGGAGAGTTGGAAGAGTTTTTGCAGCGCGAGCTTGGTTTCGTCGGTTAGATCTACCGTGCCGTTTTCGTCGAGCTACTGCATGATGGAGTCAAGGCGTTCTGTGCCGACGAGCTGCCAACGGTTGCATACTTGGCTTGAGCGAAGTAGGATTTCGAGGAGGTGACGGTATGTAGTTGCTGCATCCTTTTTGCCGATGCTCTTCCTGTACTTGTCGAGTTGGCCTTTGGCTTCGGCCTCGAGGACGTTGTACTTTTTCCTGCTCGTGTGGGAGCAGTTTTACTTTGTGGATGTATTCTGAAAGGGGCGGGTAGGCGCAAGTCGATGAATGACATTTCTTTCTTGCGTCGCAGACATATGTCTGACATGAGCTTTTGAAGAACCTGCTGAACCCGCAACGTGGCCTTGCATCACGGGACGCATGATGGTGCGCTGTGGAAGACGTCGAAGTTTTCGATGCCACCTGAGAGACGCAAGAAGCGGACTTGACTGTAGAGATCTTTGAGGTTGTTGATAATCGGTGTGCCGGTAAGAGACCATCGCGACTGAGCCATGAGATTGGAAATGGCAACCGTCTTCTTGGCTTTGGGATTGCGTGTATTATGTCCCTCGTCCAATATTACGCGCCGCCACTTGATAAAGAAGGGGCCTGACTTGCGCGGAAGGGAAGTCGACTTTTGCGAAAACCAATCAGAAGATATTGACTCGTACGTGCTGATGACTATATCGTAATCCTTAATTGACTTGGGCGTGATGGGTTCCTTTTTCTGTCCATGCCAGAACATGACACGGAGGGCGTGTTCCGGCTTGATGTGATGCTCCATCTGTGTACTCCAGTTGCTCATTACAGAAACAGGCGCAAGTATGAGCGTAGCCCTGGTTGCATCTTTGGCACCGCGACCGAGTTCTCAATCGGCGACAATGAGGGAAATAAGTCTGAATGTTCTTTCCCAAGCCCATGTCATCAGCGAGGATACCACCTGAAGCTAGAGATGGATTCTTGACAGAGAAGCTTGTTGCGACATTTGTATAAACATCAGGTACGTTCGTATGGGGACGCCAAAGCTGAACAACATTCTTGCCCTCTTTGGTTAGGAAGCTTAGGACTCTCCTTGTCGAGCATCCACTGCAAGCCTTGCAATTGGAAAGGGTGCAGTTCGGTGACGAGAGCATTGGGTTGGGGAGCCTGAGGCATCTTAGCAAGATCCTCCTACTTAACCCCAAACTCCTCAACGAATTCCTCATTGTTTCTGGGATCAAATCGCTCGCTTCCGAGAATAATATCCTCTAGACTAGGCCCCGTCAATGAAGGATCAGCCGGCGGCAAGCCCGCAGCAAACTCGGCCATGCTGGCCTCTGGACCTTCAATCGGCCCCACGGCCTTCGCACCCTTCTTCTTCGTTCGTTTGGTGGCCTCTTTGGCTCTGCGCTCTTGCTCCTTTTTCTCTGCAGCCTCCCTGCGCTGCCGTTCAGACGCACGTCCGACGGGTAGTCTGTCCTTCTTCATCCTAGCCATAAGCTGCTGGCGCTGTACAGGATCGTCTGTTCCGTAGAGCAGGAGCTCAGTGGGACACTCGTAGTAACCTTTGTGTCCCGTGATTCGGGCATCAATCAGCAGACTGCAATCATCCATGTATTTCGCCAACTTGGCTGCCAGTCCTCTTAGGATATGGCCGATTTGCTCTCCCCGGACGTTATCGACACAGATGGCGTTTGCGTCGTATTGGTTGTGTGATTCTCTGCGCAGCACCACCGTTTCTCCTTCGGTAGCATATCCATTGTAGTACCTCACGCTGACGATTTTGTCATCTAAAGCGCCGTAGAATAGGTAGTTGTAATGCTGCTGGCTGTATCCTTGGGTTGCATCGGGGGCTTCTATAAGGCATCCTCCTCCTCATATTCGTCATTGTAGTCCAACATAACATCGGGAGATACATCTTCTCGCAATGAGCTGTACCAATGCGCTGCACCAGGAGCTCCCTGCTCAGCATCCTCCTCATATTCATCATCAGATGCTTCCTCCTCCAACTCTACGTTCAAATCATCATCATAATCCCACGCATCCCCGGGCGTCATATCCTCCAGCGTTATGCTATTCCTCGCCCTTTGCCCCCATCATACAACATACGCGACTGCTTTGGTGCGCGATAGTACGAGCCGCCATCATACGCGTCATCAGCACGTCTTTTCCGCGCCATGCTGTCTCAATGCCACTGTTTGCAGCGTGTCAAAAGAAAGAGAAGAAGGAAAAAGTGAGGA